ATCTTCAGGCAAGGTGAAAAACAAGTTGTCAGCTTGGCAAATATCCCTTGCTTTAGAATGAACACTCTTGAGACCAAAATTTCAAACTGCTTTGGCTGTTTATGGCGACTTTTAGCCTCAAAGAACACCACTGCAACGCGCTCTAGATAAATGGCCAAACGACAACTTGAAAGCATTTTTAGTGTCTTTTAACCGGTTGTGTTCTAAAAAACAGTTTGTTACACCATATGTCAAAGTTTCAACCAATGAGATTTAGTAGTTACAGAAAAAAATGACTGGAAACTGGAAAAAGATTTCGTTTATTTCTTCGCTTGAAAACTAAAAACTAAAAATTCCATGTTCCGTGTTTGTACGACCTTTTTAAACCAGCTTCTGTTGAGCAAATACCTACTTTTCGAAAAATATGAAATTGGGTCTTAACTCTTTGATACTCTTAAAAAGTTTTAGTTCAAAGACATAGAACGGAAAAACGAGAATATTTAAAACTTGCGTTGTTTTATCCAATAAGTAACCCCTAAAACTATCTTCTTTGTGATATTTAGTTTTCAAAAAAAAATCTGTAAAAACCACTACTGTTAAACTTACTCTGTCGGGAACTGAATTACTCTTAGCTTTGATTTCGCAATGGATTCGTGAAAATTATTTTTGGTTGAATTCTTCTTATGCCAATGAATTTTGTCGACTGATATCTTATCTTTTACAGTCTCTTATCAAATATCGTTTATAAAAATTGCCAAAACTTTACATATTTTGCTTCTGAGTAGAACCAACGTTTTTTTAGTTTGATTTTACCACAATTAGTGGAAAATATCTTTTGTCTCAAATTTTTGCCTCCTCATAGGAAATACAACCAATAAAATTTTCAGAGAAGAATCGAAAATGAGCTTTATCAAAGTATTTCTTTAAATACTGTGAATTTTTGCTTTGGCACTATAAGGATAGCAATTCTTTTACACCTTTCAAGAAGACTAAAAGAAAAAAATCATCGCGTTTTTGAACTTTCTGTCTGATTGTACAACTAAAAAGGGCTTCTAAAATTTTTTAAAAAATCATGGCTCTAAAACAATGATAAGCGTATCTTCTAGCGGGTATCCGGACCTTCTAATGTTAAACAATTCCGAGCAGCTGGAATTAACAATTTTGTAAAATAGAACTTACAAGCCAATCTTGAGATAATTCAAGAAAGTAGGAGCACGTAGGGGGTCGTAACAAGACAACTCGCAACAGTACACAAAACACACTTGCTAAAGACATTTTTCTCTTTTATCTTTAAGTGCCAAACAAAGCAATTTCAACTATCGACAAACAATGATTGAAGTGTACTAAAAATATGAAAAAATGCGTTATTCTGATCAGTATTTTGTTTTAATTTATGCATAGTTTTGTTTTGTATGTTTTTTTTGATAATTCCAATAAAATATGATGTTCTATTTCAAAACATTTTTGTAAGGCAGTTTTGAAAATTCAAGGATTTGTTATGACACCAGCGTTTTTGTTTCAGATAAATTCATAAACCGATTTACCTTCAAAAAAGTGCTAAAATTGTTTTGAAAATTTCATCCTATATTTCATCCTATATTTTTGAATACTTCCGGGAAATTACGCATTTGACAAAACACGTACCCAACAAATCTACTTTTTCGTAGTTGAACAGAGTTTTCTTAAATTTTTTTAAGACTTTTGTAGAAAAAAGAGCGCAGGCATACAGTATTGTTAGCTCGTCTCAAAAATTTCCAAATTGTTCGATCTAATATGATATGTTTGTTTGGTAAAGTTATATTATAAAACTAAACTTTTTGTATGAAAAGAAACTGTAAAGAAAAGATCCACTTATACTTGAGTCGAATTTTTTCCTAAAAAAAGTTTTGTTGCAAAATCAAGCTTCGAACATATTGTGTCGCTCCGGTTTGTGATGAAAAGTTGGTCGCGATTCTATGCTCGTTGTGGTTTTAAATTTTCAAAAAATTGCAGGCATTGCTAGATATTTTTGTGTAGATGGTAGCTTTTTTTTGCTCTGATTTTAAAATAAAGAATGTTTACTTAAATTATATGCTTTTTGAACTAGCTTAATTGTTCGCAGTCAGATAAATAAGCTATTTTTTCAGAGTTTTGACAAGTAATTGTCAATTTATTGAGGGTTGAAGAACTTTCAAACATATTTAAAGCAAGCTAATTGGTCCTAATAAAATAAAGTGCAACAAAACTGCTCGTATCAGGGCAAAGCCGAAAATATTTTGACTGTTTGTTTCTGTTAAGGTTTATGAGAACTTGAGTTGTATTCATTTCAAAAACAGGACAAAAATATATTATAAAAAAAATATCTTTTGAAAGATTAGCGATATGTTCAAACGCAGTCAGTTTGCGTCAATCCATATCAAAATTGGGTATCGCGTGGCTGAAAATGTCAAAAACCGACAATACTTGACAATTATAGTTGAATCATAAATCAGGCATCTCAAACGGCGGGCACTTGACAATCAAATGTGTTGATTATTGCTCTTTCAGGAGTTGTGTAGGTCAGCTACGAGCAGTAACGTGCTGATTGGGGGTCATTTAGAACTTAGAGGGATAAAATTTTGAGCCCCTCAAGAGACAGATACTGCTGGTAGCTGATCTACTCCAAGCTACGTCAATTCTGCTTGCCAATTTTTTCAAAAGGTCCTTAATAATGTTTCGCGACATTCTTTTGTGATCCGTCAACTCAGGGGCGGATCTAGGATTTTCTCGAGGGGGGGGGGGATTTTTTTTTTTTAGGTCGACCAAATTGATTTTTCGAGCTCTCCCAAAGCACTGTTTTGTTTTGCCCCTATTTTGGCTAAATTTTCTACGCCGCAGACAAATTTTTAAAAAACAGTCAAAAAGCCGTTTTTGGGCACTTTTTGAAAAATTTTGACAAAAAAATGCGTTTTTTTTTGGCGCGCGCTCCCCCTCAAAGTTAGTATATATTGGCGCCAAAGGCGCCTTTAGAAAAATAAAAATTTTAGGGTCGGTCGGCCAAAAATGGATTTCTGAAAAAGTATCAAAAGGGGGACCCTTTGGGTCGGCAGGGGGTCGAATCCCTGAGGGGGGAAGGGGCATCCGCCCCACGCCCCCCCCCCTAAATCCGCCCCTGCGTCAACTCTAAAAGCGCATTCAGTGCCAATATACAACAGCATTGAGAGAAAGCGAGCTGCAAAAAAAATTGTTTCAAAGTCTTTGATAAAGAACTGTCAAACTTCATTTTTGGCTAGTCTTTAAGCTTTCATAAATTCAATTAATGAGGAAAATTTGAAAAGTACAGTGTTTTGGAAGTGCTAAAAGTTTTTTCTTCGAAAAGGCTGTTCAAAAAACTGCCCCCTCTTAAAAACGCATGCGCTTGCAACTGGCTGCTACAAGGTATCATAGAGAGACTTTGACCCAAGATCCAAAAAAACTCTCGCTTGATTAGATCGAATTATTTCGGGATTACTAAATTTTTGTGAACTGCAAATAATTTCTTAAACACTTTAGCATCCTGCACTGAGGTCGCAGGGATAGCTATCGTTGTTTCAGGCTAAGATCAAAACGCTGTTTCAGGCTATGTCTCTAAATTTTTGCTGGATCATTGCTGAAACAGCGATGAATTTCGAAAATTGCGCTGAATTATCTCTGAATCATTTCTGAAAACCCAATTTCTGAATTAGCGCTGAATTATATCGAAATATTGATTATATTTGGAAACAAATTTCTCACAATGGATTATTTATGATTCAGTGCAAAAAAAAATAACTTAAATTATCATCGCTGTTTCAGGCTCTGAGCAGCGTCATTTTATCCATAATCAGTAAATTTTCAGCATTGATTCATGTCATAATGCTGAATAAGCGATGACCATCCCTGCAAAGCCAAGCCGTGGTGCTTATTCATTAAAGTGAATTTCTCTGACATGGTCGCTCTCTAAAACTTTCTTTGTTATGACGCTGTCAATACTTAAAATTGAGAAGCTCTAATTTGATTTGATATTTCCGAAACCTTAATAAAATTTATTTAAATGCACTTTTTGCACAGCACTACCGTGCATAAAAGTGCCTTTGAGTAAATATTTTTAAAGTGTCAGAATTATTAAACCAAATTAGAGCTTCACAAATGATATAATTAAGGAAGTATCAAGATATCTGATGCAAGAGTTGTGGGCAATCGGACTCAATTATCACGTGCAGCAAGTCAACTGAATAGACGCTGGCATGGGACCGTTTGCCCTGGGCTAAAACAACCTATAACCATAAATTACCCGGCTGATTACTTTTGGAGAGAAAAAGGAAGTCTTCTGTTATACAAGAGAGCACCACGGCAATTTCTAGTCCTTAAATGAACAGCTCGTATGCATGCTTTTTCCATTGAGTTGAGGATGAATGCTCTTATATTTCGAACCAACTTTCTTGATTCGTAGGTAATCGAAAGTCAGTAATGAAAATACAACCTCTCCAAACATAATTTTCACAACTTTTACAAAAGTATTGACAAAAAAATTAAAACAGGCTACTTGAATTGGAATACAGTCATGATTATGTCACCGAATCTTTTCAAGTAGACTTGTGGCCCTTTAACAGTCAACTCGCTTTTCCTTCAAACTGTATCAATTTGAACAAGTTGCTACGATTTTCACCAACCTGGAAATCGCAAACATTTGAATTTTACTAACTTTTGAGCATTGGAAGTTATATAGTTTGAGCATAAAGGAAACTTTTAAAAGCCCTTTTGATCCAAACATAACTTGGGTCGAAAACACGTGAATATTTGGCTCATGTGAAACTGAAAGTAATGCTAATGGTACAGGTATAACTTCAAATTACCGAAGGAACTTAAGTTTTGTTTATAGTTTGAGAAGTTTCAGTGGAAAGTAAATTCGGTCCTACTTGAATAACAACTAACTTATAACCAGCTTAGCTATAAATTGAACCGTAAATTTGGTAAGTTTACACTCCAGGTAAGTGTTTTGAGTAATTTTGAATCACCACTTTTTCTGAAGTTAGCAGTTGATCAAACTTAAATCGGGTTGAAAACTCACTTGGTGTTTTTGCTTCATACAAAGGTTAAAAACTGTTAAAATCGAGGATAATCACAAGTTTAACATACTAGTGAATTTAGTGAGTGAATTTAATATATTCAATTTTAAATCGTAATTTGAATCGGCGAGCGGATGCTATTAAGTGGACTGGAATCCAAACATATTTTAGTGCCAATGATTTTTTTCTGACTTTAGCTGGGGCGGATTTAGGTGGGTGGGTGGCAGACGCCCTCCCTTCAGGGACTAGACCCCTCAACAACCAAAGGGTCTCCCCTTTGTTGTTTTTTTATGACACCCATTTTCTGCCAAACAACCCTAAAATTTTTCTGAAGGGGCCTCCGGTGCCAATTTGTACTAATTTTGAGGGGGAGCGCGCGCCGAAAAAACGCAATTTTTTGGTTAAAATTTTCAAAAAAAATGCCCAAAAACGTTATTTTTTACCTAGGGTATTTTTGACCTAGGGACAAAAACGGTATTTTCAAACTAGGATCTTTGCAGTGTTTCTGGGAGCGCTCGAAAAATAATCAACTTGGTCGAGCTAAAATCTGCCCCAACTTTTGAAAATCGGGCCCATTATGGCACCAAGTGGGAGAAAATCCTAGATCCGTCCCCGGTTTTAGTGTTTTCTTTGTACATTACTCTACTTTTATTTTGGTCCAATATTGCTATTAACTCCAAAAATATGAGGCAGCCTGTTGATGTCGTTCCCATTAGATTAGCCCATGATAACATCTTTCATTTCAGTCAAATTTTCAACAGACAAGACCCAATTTTGCCCTTAATACCCTTCAACAGGAAACAAGACACACACGTTCTAAATGGGTGAAGGATCGAAAAAAAAACAGCCCAGTTTTACTATAGGTCATGAGTAAAATTTTCACAACGTTCGAAACACAATTTTAGTCACATCAGAGCTGCAGTAATATATTCCCTTACTTTTTACTTTTATACCAAGTGAAAAATAATTCCAACAACGCGCGCGTAAGTATAGTATTTGTACTATTTGTAGTAAGAGAAACGCTACATATACCTGTTTTTTTCTTCAGCTAGAACTCATACAAAGATTTATTTGCGCTTTGCCACCAGGTTTTTGTCCCCATTGGCGATATAATTGCCATCGATTTTGCAACCCATCTGAATTTTTTATTATCTTGGAAAAATAAGCGAGAAGCAACTGAATTTGGCATTAATTGCGCATTCAATAATTGATTTTAGTCTGGTAAGTTCAAAGCGATTTTTTTCTTGTTGTTTTTTATCTATAAAATCTACATTTGAAACAAATCTTTGCAAGCGAAAGTAACTTTACCAGTAAAATTTGTATTTGATGTTGTTTTTATATTGTAAATGTCTTTCACTTTTTTGAGTGGCACATTTTTGCGAGTAAAAGCGTAAACTTTGCATGCTAAAATCTCTTTGATTGGCGGCTTTCAAAGACCAAATAAAAGTATTTAATCAACATATAATAGATTTTGACCGAAAGTGCAGTTTTTCACAATTATTTGTAAATTTGCGCACTGGGTGAAAAAGAATCACTTCGGTTTGCTCGTTAATTCGCTCTTTGAAGCCTCATTAACAAAACAATTTTCATAAATTTATTTGATGTTACAATAATAAAATAGCAATTATTTGCTCACCTGTCGATTTTAATGCATGCAAAATAAACCAGAAAAAAGTCGGTGTTGCAGTTGCGGAAAAAAAAATCTGCGATCAAATTGTTCTCAAAAATCCAACCAAAATCAACTTTTCACACAAAAAAATAAGAAATGTATCAAAGATTTTTCAGGCTTAATTAACTTCGCGAAAACTTGATAACAAACTGAAGAAATCAGATTTTAACATTCAAAACATAAACTTTGATGACTTTTTCGAAGAAATTTTAGTCATCAAAAGAACATCAATTTTCCGCTCTGTTGATTACGTTTGATATACATTTATGATTCATATCCAGATACCTTCAAACCTTTACCCAGAATTACAACATCAACGACAACATTAACAATAACGGGAGTTTACGATGGATCAATCGGCGGAACACAACAATACAATTCCACCTGCCGAAACGGACATCAATACGACCGATTGGACAAAGGACGGGACCTCTCCCTCGTCAATAGTTGAGCCTCTGCCTGAACAAATTGCACCGTCCTCAGATGAAAAGGGAGATATTGAGTTAGAGGGTGATGATCAAATTGAGAACAAAGAGGTTAAACAGGCTGCAATAAGTGAAGGTAAGGCAATTAACTCATCATCTTAAAATTTATATTTCAGATACTTTTCTGTCCAAGTTCTTAGACTTGATTTACCTTCCCTATAAGTTTTTCCGGGTTTTCTCCGGACAAAGCCAGTCTTTGAAGGCTGAATATTCAACGATGCACAGTGTTTTTTTTTCGCAAAAGCATTATTTTAATCTCCTTTAAAGTTAACCCAAATATAAGCATCTAACCATCTACCATTTTTGCAGGCTCAAAAATTCACAGTTTTTGATGATAGAATGGCTTTGATGATAGAATGGCTTAAAAAGTAGACTTTTTGAGGATTTATAATTCAATTAACGCAATTTACAAAGTTTTTGGCTATTTTGTAAATTATCTTTGCACGTTGAATTTAAAATTGTTCAAGAGTTTTGTTTGAAAATGTCGACTCAATTTTAAATTTTGTATTTTTTGAATTTAGCTCCGCAGGAAGACGCCAACACCAATCTTGAGAGCAGTGAAGACTTCGAAATGATCTCCCAGCCCGATAACAGCGAACCGACTGAAATCACACCCCCTCCAACTAGCAGGGAGGAGGGGGTCACTTCCTCTCTCAGTGACTCACCCCCGGTTGAAGAAGTGGGCGGGGCAGTTGAGTCTGGGAGAAGTGTGAGCAGCATCACTAATAACGACCAGGAGGATGCGGATACTTTCTCAGTTGTATCCTCTGGGTCGAGAAAGGTAACAGAGGGTTTATAGAAAAATCAGAATAATATTTAATAATAATAATAACAAGACTGCTCGCATCAGGGCGAAGTCCTGAAAGTTCCAACTACCTTTTAAGGTCTATGGAGCATTAATAAGATGAAAAACTTCAATGTTATAAAAAAATTTTAAAAAAATTTTGAAAAAATTTAGGATCTTATATTAAAACATCCCCCCACACGTCATATTAAGTACAAAGTGATAGATTTTGCGCCTATTAACAAATCAATTATGGCATATAAGCTTCCTTGAACCAATTTGGAACGATTTCTAAGACGGATTAAATATCGCTTACGCGTTTATAGCGCGAAATTTATCGAGCGTTAATTGTCCCAAATTGGTCAAAATGGCAATCTTTAAACCCCCGTAACTTACGACAAATGATCACAGGTGAAATATCTTTTCAAATTTAAGCTCAGGACAACAATACCTTTTGATTGATATTAAAAAATTCCGTCAAAAATGGCTAGTTAAAAAGTCGACATTTGTCTGAAGAAAAAAAACCCACCCCGAGCACAAATATTCCGTTACTTTCGTACGAAAGTCGGAACAATAAAAGTAATAATAGTAATAATAGTAATAAATAGTAATATTAATAAGACTGCTCGTATCAGGGCGAAACCCTGAATGTTCCGACTGCCTTTTAAGGTTTATGGAGCAGTAATAACATTTAAAAATTCAATGAAATAAAACAAAGTCAAAAAAAACATTTTTCTAAAATTTGAAAGTTTTTATGAAAATCATCCCCCCACACGCCATACAAAGTACAAAAGGATAAATCTTGCTCCTTGTAACAAGCCAATTATGGCACATAAGCTTCTTTTAACCAATTTGGAACGATTTATAAGACGGATTAAATCTCCGCTTACGCGTTAATAGCGCGAAATATATCGCGCGTTAATTGTTCCAAATTGGCCAAAATTTCAATCTTTAAACCCCCGTAACTTTACGAAAAATGATCACAGGTGAAATATCTTTTCAAATTTGAGCTCAGGACAACAATACCTTTTGAATGATATAAAAAAATTCCGTCAAAAATGGCTAGTTAAAAAGTCGAAACTTGTCTGAAGAAAAAAAAAAACCCACCCCGAGCACAAATATTCCTTCACTTTCGTATCGAAAGTCGGAACAATAATAATAACAACAAAAATGGTAACGGACAGAAGGAGCAAAAAGTAACTGTTACAAAAAGGAAAGAAATTGTTTATTATTTACGAAAAGCATCCAAAAAAATCATTTTTTGGAAAAACCAGTTAGCTGCCTATCAAAAAGCGACAGATTGAGGGGGTGTAAGACGCTTCCTTCCCTCACGGATTCGACCCCCTGCCGACCCAAAGGGCCAAGATTTCGTCCTATTTTAAAACTAAACTTTTGGCTGACCGACTTTAATTTCTTTAAAGCCGCCAATATAGCCTGATTTTGAGGGTGAAAGCGCACCCAAAAAGCGCAATTTTCTTTCAAATGTTTCCAAATAGTGCCGAAAAACCGCTTCTTTTGACTGTTCTGCAAAAACGCTTTTTCGGCCAGATCTTTCCGAAATTTGCTGCACAAAAACAAGTAGTCTCGAAGAATTAGATCTTGTTAACTATTTCCCCCGAAGCCCAATGGAAAAATGGGGATTCATCAAAAAGTACAAAATTAACTTATGCTTTAACGTTGTATAAGTGCTTCATAGGTACCACTCGTTGCCATCAAAGCATTCTTTTTATTTATTTTTATTTGACATTTGGTTACATTTACCCCACCAAGAGGCGAAATTTTTCTCAATAAAATTTTAAATCGAATAATCTATGTGTGTTTGTTTGTTTGTTACAGTCCAGCGCAACCTCGAGTCGCCAGAGTGTTTCGAGAGGCAAAATTGGTTCATTGCAGAATATGAAACACAAGCCAGGGGGAGGCGACAAGAAAATATACAGTGAAAAGGTCAAAGTTCAAGCACAGTCTAAATGTGGGTCACTCGCAAACACAACACACCAACCGGGCGGAGGAGACAAAAAAATATTCGAACAAAAGGTCAAAGTTCAAGCACAGTCTAAAATCGGGTCGCTTGAGAAATCAACTCACAAACCAGGAGGGGGTCAGGTCAAAATTCACGACGAAAAAATTAAAATCGAAGCCAAATCAAAAATAGGATCGACTGAAAAAGCAACCCACAAACCAGGTGGAGGTCAGGTAAAAATTTTTGACGAAAAAGTCAAAGTTGAGGCGAAATCTAAAATTGGGTCAACCGAGAAAGCAACTCACAAACCCGGCGGCGGAGACAAGAAAATTTTCAGTGAAAAGGTCAAAGTTCAAGCAACTTCAAAAATCGGATCGATGGCAAACGCAACACATAAACCACAAGGCGGTGAAGTTAAAATTGTGAACGAAAAACTGAAAGTAGAAGCGAGATCAAAAATCGGATCTCTTGAAAATGCAACACATAAACCTAAAGGGGGTGAGGTCAAAATTCAAAATGAAAAGGTCAAAGTTGAAGCCAAATCTAAAATTGGTTCATTTGACAAAGCGACTCATAAGCCAGGCGGTGGTCAAGTCAAAATAGTCGATGCAAAATTTCAAGTACAAGCGAAATCCAAGATTGGTTCCCTCGAAAATGCAACTCATAAGCCGCAAGGGGGCGAAGTCAAAATTCGTGACGAAAAGTTAAAAGTTGAGGCTAAATCGAAAATAGGATCGCTTGACAACGCAAAACACACGCCGCGAGGGGGCGACGTGAAAATTCAAGACGAAAAACTCAAAGTTCAAGCGAAATCGAAAATTGGATCTTTTGAAAATGCTAGACACACACCACAAGGGGGCGACGTAAAGATCCGTGACGAAAAATATAAAGTTGAGGCTAAATCGAAAATCGGATCGCTTGATAATGCGAAATATACACCGCGAGGGGGCGACAAAAAGATTTACGACGAGAAGCCAAAATTCAGCGCGCAGTCTAAAATCGGGTCACTTCCGATCGACCGAAGCAGTTTGGATCTCGAGAGAAAGTCGATGGTCGAAACTCCATTTAGCCCAGATCCGACAGAACACTCAACAGAACCCCAGACCCCGATGACCCCCATACGTTGACCAGGTCAAAAAAGGGGAGGGGCTGTATATTGCCCTACAAAGGCCTCAAAGTCAACACATATAATTGATACCTCGTGTTAATTAAGCAATAAAAGTCACAATAATTAGATTTTAATGTTTTCACTTTTGGAAGAATGAATTTCCCAAAAATTGCATTTGATTTCAGTTGGTGATTGAAGGTAGTGTAAAGTGCACAGAGTGTTATGACCCGAAAATTTTGAAATCATCTACATTTTTTTGAAGACGGGTTTATTTCGTTCAATATATATTTAGTAAAATATGTGCGCGTGTTTATTTTTAAATTCTGTATTGATTATAATTAAAATTGGAGAACATTTATTTTTACAAGTGAGCTGGCATATTTTTTTTCATCTTTTTATAGTTCAGTAGGATTTCTCAAATGGGTTGTGTTTTACTCTAGGTAATTAGTAAAAAAATATATTTAAAAAAAAATAGATACCATATTGGATGATTGCTGTTTCAAATGTTTTAAATTGACGTTATCAAGTATAAAAACAGCAAAAACTTTCGAAGTATTTAATTTATAAGGCAAAAGAGTTTTATTATCGATAAAAGAGATCACTGGAGAGGTAAACATTTGTTCTTGTTTTTCTTTAGTAAGCATATCAATTATCATACTTTCAACGAAACCAAATCAAACTCACGCTTAACAAATAGAAATTTATCAATAAAAATACAAAACTGATTACACGACGGTGAGCAACTTTTCGGAAACAAAAAAACTTTGCATTAGGCTTAAAAATAGCTTTCCGAAACAAGCGAATATAGCTAGCTGTTCTGGATTCCGCAACTGTAAATGGATTCCACAAAATGTGTGTGGAATCCGTAAATGTAAGTGGAATCAGTAAATTTTTAAGCGGAATCCGCAAATTATAAGTGGATTCCGAGTTTTGTTTATAACCGAACTTGCATATGAACAATAAAAAGCTACGGCTGGAACTCTTATCTATAGCAACGCGGAACTTAAAAGCAAGGACCTAACAAGTGTCAGCGGAAACCACGAACAAATCTCAAAAAAAATGGTTAACAAAATCGATGGATGTCACCTTAAGATAATTTAGAAATGCAACACCAAATAAATTCAATATATGATTTCATTGGGTTGAGAGTGATTCGAAAAAAAACGCACATCATATCGCCGAATTAGGTCAGTATTTAAGATGGCATCAATCTCAAATACTGATCTAGTAGATTTCGATTCTAGCGAATTCATGAGAACAGTATTTGAGATGAGTCGAAAGTTAAATCAAACTATGAGGGCAGTTTTTCGTTTGAATACATGGTGCTACATCTTTTTGATTAGCTGAGTAAATAAAAGATAAAAAATTTAAACGCTATACTACATACTTAAATATAAACGGAATCAGCAAACAAAAAGCGGATTCCACTTATAATTTGCGGATTCCACTTTCAATTTGCGGATTCCGCTTACAGTTGAGGATTCCGCAACATCTCAATTTAACTTTACATATGTTTTTTATTTAATTGTAGATTCCACAAACTGATCTGGATTCCGCAAATACGGTTGCAGATTTTGCAATCTTGCCTATTTTTGGAGCAACTTTGAGCGGTACGGTGTTTTATGTATTTGTTTGTGGAATCCAAAACAGCAGAGAAGGTCAAAGAAAAGTAACAATTTTGCGAATTCCGCGACAAATTTGATTTTTGTCTGTTGCGGATTCCAGTTACATTGCACAGAAAACACAGTTTGGCCTCGTAAAGAATGAATTGAAAAAATAATCGCATAATTAATATTAAAGTAAACGAGACTCCTCGTATCAGGGCGAAGCCTTGATTGTTCCGACGGCCTTTTAAGGTCTATAGAGCAAAAAAGAACAGGATAATTTTAAATGTAATAAAATGATTTTAAAAAAATGAAATTTTAGTTTTATTGTAAAAATTATCCCCCCCCACCCCACACGCCCTATAAAGTACAAAGTGATAAATTTTGCTCTTATTAGCCAATCATTTATAGCATATAAGCTTCCTTCAAAAAATTTAGAACTGTTTTGAGACAGATTAAATCTCTGCTTACGCGTTAAGAGCGGAAAATATATCGCGCGTTAATTGTCCCAATTTTTCCAAAATTGCATTCTTTGAGTCCCCATAGCCTTACAAAAAATGATCGCAGGTAGAGTTTACTTTTTTTGTTCTCCTAAAAAATCGAAATCTTCACTGAATTATGATTATTTTGCTGAAACTTTTTGTTTTGATCGACAAAAATGCCAAAACAAAACCAACCCAACCATAAATTATCTAATTATTTCTTTTAATATCGCAACAAAACGATTTCCATTTGGCTGTAAAACATAAGTATTCGAACCATGAGACATTGGGATTTTTTCTAGAAGATGAAACAATCAGACCATGGAAGATTTGAGACTCTTTTTTTTTTTACAAAATCTGACAAATCTGTACAAACGATGAAAAAGGCCTCACAGAAAGCCACAATTGGTCACCTATGTTGATGCTTCGAAGGAAATTAGCTTTATGCGAAAAAATCTAGACTGTAATTCTTTCCTATTTTTTGGAAGATATCAGTTTAATATTGATGAAAACATAATAGCTCTATAACAATGACAAAAATTAATGACCGTTTAATAAGTAAATAGCACAGAATATTCCAAAAACAAAAATTTTTTGACAAAAAAAAACAGAATAAAAAATAAAAAAGTTTGTGTTTGAATTGTGTTAAACTGCGCCTAAAACTCCTGAACTTATTTTGAAAACGTATAAAAATATGTTTTTTTTTGTTAGCAGTTTTATGTTTGCGGGCGGTGTGCGGGAATAAGAACATTAGAGAACTCTTTGCTATGTTGATCGAATAAGAAAAACTAATCATTTCAGAGTTTTCATTGTTTTTCAAAGAGCAAGAAGTATTGCTCATTATCGACTAATTTCGCCGATGTAGAAATTAGACTTGCACAAAAAAAACCGACAAAACTTACAATACCAATCATAATCGTAATTCTGATGAGAACACGCTGATGACAAGAAAAAGCTATTGTTTTACTGTAACTATTATTCTATAGCTGATGTCAAAAAATATTTGTAAAACATTTACGACAATTATAATAAAAGTTATGTGCGGGTGAAAAATTTGTCAGAAACGTCAAATATAGAAATTGAACTTACCAGTCTGTTTTATATAGAAAATATTTGTATATGTAAAATTTTGTAAATATTTTTAGTTATTTGTGATTGTTTGTAATATTTGTTAAATATATTTTTTGAGGTCAGGCGAAAAACGAAAAACATTTGCTTAAAAAGAACTATAAAGAATGTATAGATCGGATTGGTTGACCAGCTCGTTTTTGAAATGATTCAAACTATGTGTGAGCTACAACAGGCTAAAGCCAATATTATCTTTTTTTTTTCAAAACAACCATGTCCTGAAAAACATTTTTACTTAAACCACCCGTACACATTACAATGCCAAACTGTTTCTGTTTGAGTTTGACGCGGATTTCGCAAAGAGGCTCGAAAACTTTTTGGGGGATCGGCAACAAGGATGGGTGTTTTTTCATTTTTCCTGCTTTTATAGAATCCAAAAACACAAGGACAAATATGATACAGCTCCGCAAACGCTAAGCATTTTTCTTTCATTTTTTTCTCTTTTCTTTAATTTTTTTGATCGTTTAAGATTTCGCGACACAATTTATTATATCAGACCACAAATTTTTTGTTACCATGTATTTACTTTTGAAATCCACACTAATTTGGTAGTTAGATTTGGCAGTTGAACTTTGAAACAATTTAAGGCTGATCACTGTTTTCAATTGCCATATACTTGCCAAACGGTGCATCGTACAAAAAACGAAAAAATGAGTATGGCCGCGTGACAAAAGGCCGCGGAAACTCTATTTAAAAATCCCCAGGCCAAAATTTATTCACATCTTGAAATACTTGAACAAAACATAAGCTACGTCATATTTAGTAGTATTTTTTGGCCTGACTAAATAGTGTGAAAAAATTTCGGTTTCTGTTATGTTTTCTATACACAATTAAATATCTTTAAAAAATCTGTTGAGCTCGATTGAGACATTCTAGTGATAATTTCAAATCGTGATTCCAGCTGCAAGGAGAAATATAATTATTGTCGAGGAACGAACATTTTCTTGAGCAATTAACTCAGTAAGCCCACTGTTTGCTTTACACGAGATGATTAAGATGAAAGTACGCCCCATCAATAATCCAAGAAACAAAATAACCGGAACCCATCTCATTCTTTATTATAAAAATTAGAAATCACATAAATACGAAAAAAATTAATGAAAATGGAGAAGTTAAATGGGGTGCTTATATTCTGTTTATTGAAAAACAGTACTTTTTTATTTTGCATCTATTAACGTCAAATTACTGGCTTACTTTTTTCAGAAAACTTATATCTTTCAGATAGTTCATGGAAAAAAACACTGCTGAATTTCATAATTTTGAACTGAGTCAGGTCAGTTATATTTCTTAGCAAAAATTCATTTATACTGCATCATAGTTATACAGGAACAAAGGTATAAAACTATCATTATTTTTTTATAATCATCTTAGGTTGAATATTACCGATAAACTTTGAAAAAAATTTTGAGGAAAAAATTTAGATTTGTTATACAGGCCGGATTTCTTAGGCTGAAGTCCCCTCTCCTTCCGCGTTTCGACTCCCTGCTGATCAAAAGCGCCCCTCTGGTATTCGATTCAGACAACGAACGTTTTTGGCTGACCTATTCTAATTTTCGCTTGTTAGATTTTGGCGGTTGATTTTTGAAACTTTTTGAGGCTTGTCTCTAGTTTCAATTGCCACATACTTACCAAAAAGGGCGGCTTACAAAAAATGAAAAAAGACTATGTCCGGGTTAAAAAAACCGAAGAAAAAAAGCCGTAGAAACGAAACGCAATTTAAGAGTCGCCTGGCGAAAAGCTATCCACATCTTGAAATACTTCGACAAAACCTAAGCTACGTCGTATGTACTAGCCTTTGTTTTAGTCTGAATCAAATATGCGAAAAAAATTCGGTTTATGTTAGGTTTTTATGCGAAAATAAGTATCTTTAAAAACATATCGTGAGCTCGATTGACACATTCCATTAAAAATTTCAAATCAAGATTCCAGCTGCAAGAAGAAATATAACTATTGACGAGGAACGAAAATTTTTTTGAGCAACAAACTCAGTAATCTTACTGTTTGTTTTAAAAGAGATAATTTCACTGAAAGTGTTTCCGACTAAACTGAAATTGCGCCAGCCAGAATTAGTTCAAGAAAAAAATCCATCTCATTCAATATAATAAAATATAAAAATTACTTATTTACTTAAAATCAAACAAAAAAGGAGATTTTTTTTCGGTTTATTTTCTTTTGTAGATCGCTGTGAGAATTTGAGTGGGTTTCTTGTGTTCAGTTTTATAAATAACAGATTTTTCTTGTTCCCTCCTGTTAAAAAAAGGGTAACCTTTCTCAGAAACCTTCCTTCTATCAGATATTTCAAGGAATAAACTGTGCTGAATTTTATATTTTTGAACTGATTCAGGTTAACTTTGTTGCTTAGCAAAAAATTCATTTTTTTTGCAACAAAAAAAACAAGAAAAAAAGTATAGTTTTATCATTTTTCTTTTATAAATATCTTAAGTATAATTTTACTACTAAACCTAGAAGAAAGTTTTCAAGAAAATAATTTTAATTTATTATACAGGGCGGACTTCTTGGGCTAACGTCCCCTCCCCCTCCCTCTCAGGCTTTCGACCCCCTGCTGACCAAAAGAACCCCACTCTTATTAGGTTCAGACAACATTTTTGGCTGACCTATCCTAAATTTTGCTCCTTAGATTTGGCGGTTGAACTTTGAACCAATTTAAGGCTGATCTCTGGTTTCAAATGCCATATACTTACCAAACGGTGCGTCTTACAAAAAACAAAAAATTGAGTAAGACCGCTGGACGAAAGGCCGCGGAAACTCTGTTTAAAATTCGCCAGGCCAAAACTTATTCACATCTTGAGATACTCGGACGACTTTTAAGCTACGTCATTTTTAGTAGTATTGTTTTAGTTTGACTAAAAAGTGTGAAAAAAGTTCGGCATCAGTTATGTTTTTTTTTGCAAAAAAAACTTATAAAACAACTGTTTAATTCGATTAAGACTTTCTAGTATTAGTTTCAAATCGTGATTCCAGCTGCAAGGAGAAACATAACTATTCTCGAGGAACGAACATTTTCTTGAGCAATTAACTCAGTAAGCCCACTGTTTGCCTTCCAAAAGATGATTCAACTGAAAATGTTTAATGACCAAACTGAAACTGCGTCAGCCATCATTAACCCAAGTAATCGTTTTTTTTTTATACCGGAACCCATCTCATTCATTATGATTAAAGATAAAATTACCTAATTACTTGAAATCAAATTAAAAAAGGGAATTTTACAGTTTATTTTTTTTTCTTTAGATCGCTGTGAAAATATGAGAGGGGTGCTCATATTCTGACTTTTCAATTAACAATATTTTAGTATTTTCTTGTTTTGCAAATGTTAAAAACAAATTACTGGGTTATTTTTTGCAGAATTTTCCATCTATCTGAGATATTTATAGGAAAAAAACTGTTCTGAAATTTTGTATTTTTGAACTGATTCAGGTCAATTGTGTTGCTTAGCATCATAAATATACAGGAATAAAGGTATACAATCATCATTAATTATTTGTAATCATCCTAAGTTGAATATTACCAATAAACATTGAATAACGTTTTTAGGGAAATAATTTAGGTTTCTTATACAGGGCGGATTTCTTAGGCTAACGCCCCCTCCACCTCAGGGGTTCGACCCCTGCTGACCAAAAGGGCCCCTCTGGTATTCGATTCAGACAATGTTTTTGGCTGACCTACCGTAACTTTTAATCAAATTTTTTCAAAAAATTGCAAATTTTCTCATATGTGGCTTTTTTGGCCTGTTTTTTAAAAATTTGGCTGCGGCCTGTTTTTGAAAATTAGGCCTGTTTTTGAAAATTTTACCCTGTTTTTTTTTGAAAATTTGTTTGACCAAGAAAAACATGACGACAAAATTTTTGATTTTTTTAAAAAGCCACCCTCACCCCTCGAGAAAAGCTTAGATCCGCCCCTTTGGTTATAAATCTTCAATATCACTTTTTTCCTGCTGTGAACAATATGGTCATATTTTCAAACTGCCGTTTTTACATAAGGGTTCCTGTATCGGTTTCCCTGCCATAGTTATCGTTATAATCATCAAACTGAGAATCTTGCGGGATTGAAATTTTACTCTGGTCATTATAAAATTGTTCTCGGTTTGGGTTTGCCGAGTCGTTCAAACTGGTCACTCGGTAGACTCTGATTTCGGAATCGGCGGCATCCGAGTTACTCGCTCGGCCTATTCTACAGCAGCAGAAATTTAAAATTGATTGGGGGCTTCTTTTCACTTTCATCTTGAGAAGCGAGCGGAACTCTTTGAAGGAACAGGCGTATAGAATTGGGTTGCAAACACTGAAAAAAAAAACATTTTTGTCAAATGTAAGATTATTTTTAGACATAACGAATTAATCATTTTAGGCAACTTAATCCGTGGTGTATCCTGAAATTTTTTTATAGATTTTGCAACGAAACGCAACAAAAACAACCAATCAAAAGAAAGCAAGGGTAGCCGGTCGCTTTCCGACAAAAAACAGCAAATAAAACAAAGCAAGAAAACATCAACAAAATTTTCATATCTAAAAATACTAATCAAGAAATTTCAAGCTTCAAGTTTTTAAATTAAAAAATTCCGTTCTTGGTTCGGCGTTTTTTTAAGATATGCACAATATTACACAAAAACGGGTGAATAATTGCTAAAATTGCGAAAACAAGAATAATTGCTAAACTATTCTGAATGTTGCGCCCTGTAACTTCGTCTCGGTGTGATTTTGTCTAAACGTCCAATTGCGCATAAAAAACTCTGGTTGTAAATCTAGGAATTTTGCAGGTGGAGGGAACTGAATTTGATTGACTCTAAAAAAATAACTTTCCCGAAAATATAAAAAAGCTGCCCCCCTTAATTTCACTAACCACTTGCGAGAGTCAAAGCCGGCTCTATAACGGGGTGATAGTTTCCATTTGCAATGACAATTTCTTTGAAAAACAGTTGTTTGAGGATCGGGGCCAGCGCGAAACTTACGCGCTGAGGTTGATGAGTATCTGGGTGATGTAGAATGGTACACGTGTAAATATGTCATCCTCCTCACTGTCATCATCCCCTATCAAACCCAGTCCATAGCCCGCAAACAGGATCTCATTGGGCGCCCAGCAGACTATGTAGACCAGAATCAGCAGCAGGCTCGATACTCTGGTCTCGTTGGAGTCGATACTGCCAAAAAAAACACAAATGTTACATGGATAGAACAATAGCACTGATTGCTCCGATTACAACAGTACAAGGTCTGAAACTTAGAAATAAAGGGAGAATTCCACATAAAACGGAAATTTATTCATAAAATTATGTTGCTTTTGATCTAATTTTACTGCTTTTTTTTATAAATATGACCGAATAAGACGAAAGAATTAATATTGAAAAAAGCAAATAACGTTGAAACTGTAATCAATTAAATTGGGTTGCCTTTCTCTTATCAAAACTTTTTTTATCATAATCTGAAAACCGAAAATGTTCAGACCAGTTTTTCTCAACAATGAGATAACTTTTCGAAAAAAAAATTTCATAATCCGAATCATGGCCAATAGAGCTTTAATATGATATTGCGTTTGATCTAGCACGAGCTTTGCTTTACAAAGGTACCTGGATAAATATTTGAAAAACCGTCTCTCTAATCTATAGTTTCTTTCTAATCTTCTAGTCTTCCTCCAATTTGTTTTGGTCAAGTAACCAGAACTCTAATTTAGTTAATCAGATTAAGTACAATTTCACTTAATCAATCCAAACACAACGGCTAACTACAAATAGAACAAGAGCTGACCATGCTTCAATTACAAAAATGAAAACCCGGGTCGTTGTCCACACAATTTCCCAATCGGTTCGAGAATTTTAGTCACGCAAAATGAAAACTTAAGTCGCGACGATCGCCGTTTGCTAGTTAAATCCGCGACAACAATGGTCGCAACCTTAAATCTAGAAAAATTCAATTTAGGTCATGATTTAGATAAATTTAGTAGGATTTTCTGCTCGCTGATAAAATGTTACTTTGTTGCAGCTAACTCTACTTTATACAATTAAAAGAATAAAAGATGAAAAGTGAATTAATCTAAAGTTGAAACATTAAAAAGTGAAGAGAGCATTCCGTCCGCCGGAGAGAATGAAAGAGTGAAGGTCATATCTAAGTGACCTGTTAAAATGGTTACATAACCGTTAGCTAAACTAGAGTATTAAAGTAGAACCACATCATTCTTCTGATCAGTAAAAATTTGAATTGCAAAAATAACTAATTAACTACCTAACTGCACCCTTTCTCCCCTTTGTGAAACGGAGTTAAATTTTAAGCACCATAAATGTACTAGGTTAGAGATAAAAGTTAACGAGTGGATTTAAATAAGGCCGTTAAGGTTAAGAAATTAACTGCTGGATTAAAATAAGTACCCAACGTCCGCCGGATGTAAAAGTAAGCAGTCGAAATTAAATCAAAAAATTATGATGTTGAGTTCCTTGGAATGTAACTGAGTGCAAATGTAATTAAATGAGCTAGGCTATGAAGCATTACTATCAAATATTAATGGTAGCCAAACTTTAAGGTGAAGTATGTGTATTGATCCGAAGGAAAGTTAAATGATGTTCTAGGCAGTTAACAATCCAAAGAATATTGTAGTAAATGAGAAGACAAAAAACATTTAGCACCGGGTAAGCGAAAACGTTCTGAATAGTTTTTGAGTTAACAGTTTTTGTAACAGTTTACAAAGTTTTCAAATTCGATATTGAAAAGTTCGCTGTCGAGATCTATGTTGTCGCCAAAATTGTCTACCGCAATTCTTAAAGATTCGTCCGTCGATGAAGTTGAGAGAGGATCTGGTGAAGAAGGGTTTGAATGAATAGTCATTATGTCCGAAGGAATTTCTTGATGAGTTAGGTCAGAGTGTTCGCTGATGTTGTTGTCCAGGACGATAGGGTTCGTTGCGGCGCCAGAAACCACTTGAGGTTCATCTACAACATCTATGAAGATGTTTTACCATAGAATTTTGGCGGGCCCACATTTCAATTAGACCGGCGTATGGGTGGTTCATTACCAGGTTTAGGTGTTGACTTTGGCTCAAGCAGGGCTTCATCAGATGAGTCCACTATCTCATATACTGGGAAGTTCACTGGAGAGTCCACAATTTGTGAAGTTGTTGAGGTATTCTTCGAGTCCCTTTCTTGAGTAGTGGTAGTCGATAAGGCCGCAATGATGCTGATTGGGCACTGCGATATTATTGGCTCGACCTCTTGGTTATCTTCTAAAATCTCAACCTTAATGTTATCATTTGCTTCGGTAGACTTATCAGTGTTGTAATCTTGCTTTAATTCATTTACGGAACCGGAACTAATTCGCTCCCTAACTACGTCTCTACACGGAAAATCAACAGCTATCCATTCCCAATCGCTTTTATCGGAAGAATCCAAAGGAATATATACAAAGACTCGTCAGAAGCAAGTTAACTTGGTAAAAAAAATTGACTTCTTAGATCGATCGTGGAGGTTGTCTTCGAGAAGGGCTCGAAGAAGGTCTCGACACTCGCGTCCTGGTGTTGTTGTCTGAGGATCCCAATTCTAATTCTATTTGTTTCTTGGTCTTTGTTTGATGTTTACGTGGACTGTTTTGTTTCCAGAGTTTCTCGCAATTCTGGCCTAATTCAACATTACAGTTTAAAAAGTAAGGAAATGATATGTTGCCTTTGAAAGATCGAATTTTTGAAAAGTTTGAACGTGGAATGGCGATATCTAATTTTCTGATTATTTTTCCGGCGGATAATTCTACGGTTGTACTAGAGATGTTTATGATTTTTTGTTTTAACTCCTCTTAAAACGGATTTGCATTGATGCACTTGTTCGTTTTCCGAAAAATTTTACCTTCAATTGAACTTTGAAGGGGGACTTTGGACAAGCAAGGTTTTGAGGGGCATAGGTAGTCCGCTTCGTATCCCTTCTCAACAGGTGTCTGGTTCTTCTTGGAGATCAACGTATCCTTGTATCCATCCTCCACTCTGTCGTTTGCGTTCCGGTCCTTTGCTCTTTGTTTAGAAAGCATTGGTTTTCCTTTAACTAAAATTTCATTGGATGGTTTACCGGAAGCCAATTGTTTCCAAATAGTGTTTGGTTTTCTATTAAAATGTATTTCGAAAGGAGATTATTTGATTTTTGATTGGTAAGAAGACAGAAGGTTTCAGATATTTTTTGAGAGAGAATTTTGTAATGTACATTTTTGGGTTTTTTGAGACAGCCAACAATTTAATTTTTACACTATTTACAATTTTCTCGACTAATCCGTTGGAGCAATGATCTCCTACTGTTTAAAATAATAATTTGATATTGTTCAAATCGCAAAATAATTTAAAACAGGATGCGTGATCTAGTCTAATTGAGTAAGGTATGCCGTAGAGAAATATGTATTCTTGAAGAAATTCGATGACTGTTTTTGACAAAGTAGATGTAGTAATTTTTGCCGATGGAAAATTCGAAAATCGATCGATGCCAAGTAAGATATGTTTTTTCGTGCCCCAGTGAGAATCTAAAGGACCGGCAAAGTCTAGGTTGAGTTCATCGTTGGGTTCCAGTATGGAGGGAAGTTCACAAATTTTTGAATTAGGAATTATACTTTTTTAAACTATTACCCGTGTTTGTACATTCGGAGCAATTTATGATGTGAAAATAGAGCTGCCTGTTAATATGGGGCCACCAGATGTATTGGGCCAAGTATTTCATTCCAAATTGACCGGGATGTGCTTGATGGAGAGTTTTCATCATTGCGTTTCTTATGGTAAAAGGGTAACTGAATTACCGTCTATGTATAGTAATCTGTCGGATCATGTAAGTCCCGTACAAAGGTGTTGAAATAAGGTGAATTTGCGTTAATCATCTCTTCTCTGTTTTGGTGTGCCTTCACGATGGGGCTCAGCATTGGATCGTCTTCGGTTAGAAGATCTACTAATTAAGCATCAAATAACTTATTCAAATCCAAAGGACGGTCGAGCAACTTCAAGTTTTACGTGGTCAGGTAACAATAGAAATTTTAGGTAAACTTGAATACCGGAAGTAGACGGATTAACTACAATTTTACTTTTTTCTCATTATAACAGTATTGACAAAACTTCTATCTATAGCTGAATTATTCATGCTACAATTAAGAATAAAAAAATACAAAAATGCGGAAATAGAAAAAGAAATTATTAAGGAATTAGTGTTTGAATAATCCAAAGTAACACATTTCGAAGTACAAAATTCATTTCGATTATGATTTGATGAGCAAATTGGAAAGTCGAATCAATGAATTTTATTACTGAAGCTAAAAGGTTATTACGTAATCTAGCGTAATCGGAATTTTTCAGATTTGAACCAATAACAGAGCACGTCTTTCTTTGATAAACCAAAGGATTAATTGATTTCTTAATTTTATCTATATTAGCGACTAGAAACTCCTCGTCGTAATTTGATGGGGTAGGGTTTTTCCAGGAGGAGTTCTAAAATTAATTCATTGAACCCCATGTCTTTTCCGGAAAGGTTTTTAATTGTAAAGTTAAACGGTAATAACCGATCAACCAATCTTGTTAGTCTAGTGTAGTATTTTATTCCCGTGGTTTATTGATAGAGGGATAGTAGGGCTTTATGATCTGTAATTACTTCGAAGTCTGATCCATAAAAATAATTTTTAGGATGTTCTATGGCTCAGACTACTCCCAAAAGGTCTAATTCATTGTTAGAATATTTCGATTCATGTGGGTTTAGAACCCGTGATGCAAATGAAATTGTTTTCCAGTCATTCCCATGGAGTTGTTCTAAGGAGGCTTCTAAACCGTTATGTGATGCGTCCGTTTTTATTCTGGTTTTACGTTTTACATCAAAATGAGTATTTTCCGTAAGATTGATAATCTCTTGTTTGATTTTCTCGAAGGCTTTTGTATGATCGGAATTTCAATTATTGACTTACCCATCTTATTTGTCTGGAAATGTGGAAAAACTTCTGTGATTCTTCTATCCCCACTTTGGGCAGGTGGTCATTTCCGAGTATGTTTCTCTCATGCCCTTCTGTCAAAAAGAAATGGCAGTCGCCGTGTGACCATCCATTTGAAAAAAGCGGTGGTATCACTTTGCCAGAGATGTTGATGGCGTTGTCCGCGAACCCGCAAAATAAACCCTTGGTTGTTTTATCCACTGGATAATTTTTTAGGTAT